ACACTGACTCAAATTTTTCAGTCTGATGTCGATGATAGCAAGTCGAATTCAAGGTATATGTACACCTTAAATGGAGGAGCAGTGTGCTGGAAGAGTTCCAAGCAAAATACCACTGTTGACTCGACCACAGAGGCGGAGTACATTGCTACATTAGATGTAGCAAAGGAGGGAGTCTGGTTGAAGATGTTCATCACAGATTTGGGAGTCGTTCCGGATAGCGAGAAGTCGACTTCCTTATATTGCGACAACTATGGGGCGATTACTCAAATAAGGGAACTCGGGTCTCATCATAAGTGTTCTGAGGAGGTTCCAACTTATCAGAGAGATCGTAACCCGAGGAGTTGTAGCAGTGGAAAGAGTTCCATCCGAAGATAACATTGCAGATCCACTGACAAAGCCGTTGTCTCAGATTGTCTTTGAGCGTCATAGGGGTCTGATGGGGATCAGACACATAGGTGATTGGCTTTAGGTCAAGTGGGAGATTGCTAGTCATAGGTGCCCAGCAAACCAATCACGTGAGTGACGACACGTGTGACTTGATACAGAATCTTTTTGCTTATTATATTTTGGCGTATATCACTTTATAACTATTGCATAAATGCATACATATATTGTGATGTCCTTGGATTTGTGCAATGGGAATCGGATCGTGATGAGATCACGATAATGAGATCGATTCACCTTTAAACACATATCCTAAATAATCCCGGTCATAGGTTATTCGAGAGGGACATCGTGATAACCGGATAGACTGGTGTGCTGTATACCCGTCCATATGATGGATGCAGTTGGTCTCATAGCTGCTTGTGTAGGGACACTAGCGATACAGTACAGGTGTTCATTGGAGAATGAGTTCACTGATTGATCCGCTTACGGAATGCTAGATGGTTAATGATGCCTTATTGTCAGACAGCGATTCCGTAGTCCTAGTGGTGTATCTGGTCCTTAGACTTGAGACACCAAGGATGTCCTGTATGAGTGCTCCACTTTTTGATACCAGACTTATAGGTTTGGTTGTCCCAGATCTAGTACAGCTGGTCATTGAGAGTGGTAGTCGACCTTACGAGGGCTATTGAGTGTCGATAGAGGATCATCCACTCTCGGCGTCATGAGAGGAATATCCCATGTGTTCTTGCTCAAACAAATCCCTGGCCAAGGTCATTCGGGTTGAGAGAGAAAGAGTTCTCCGGGAGAATCCGATTAGAGCGAGACTTGAGTAGAAACCGTATGGGTCTGACAGCACCATGCTCAATATACGGTCTTTGGGATATTAGATGGATGAGGGACTATAGGTACACGGTAACTGAGGACAGACAAGTCCAATGGATTGGATTCCCCTGTATCGTCTGGGGACTACGGCGTAGTGGCCTAGTACGTCTGTAGTCGATGAGTCAAGTGAATTATTACAGAGATAATAATTCACTGAGTTAGAAGGAGTTCTGATAGGTATGACTCACGGCCAGCTCGATATTGGGCCTAGAGGGTCACACACATATGGTAGGTATTGTGATGAGTAGAGGTTCGGATATGAGATATCCGACGGAGCCCTTGTCTTATTGGATGCAGATCCAATACCCACTAGGGGAGGACCCATTAGGGTTTGACAAGGGACCTCTATAAATAGGAGGGATTTAGAGCCTCATAGGCTAGAGTCTTTGCTTGCCTTTCCTATTCTCCTCTCCCTCTCCACCTCAGAGCAGGCCTGGAGTTTTTAGGAGCGTCGTCGCAACCCTGCTATGTGGATCACCACTAGAGAGGAGGACGCTTGACCTCCTTCACCCTCTCCTAAGGATCTGCAAGGAAACAGGGATATACGATCTCCCTAGGTAACACAATCTACTCTATACGCAGTTTCATGTTTCACGGATTTTTGCGTACCAATCTTCGCACGACGACGAACATCTCTTTGGGAATCGGGGATTTTGTTTTTTTTGTTCTTCTGTTGCGCATGTGATGTCGCCCCCTCAGGATTTCCCAACAACGTCGATCGATCCTCCGACTAGACGTCCAATCTTCTGACATGTTCCACCGACCCAACATAATTCTTCCTGCTTTAATTGTCTCATCCTGATCGAAGCATCCTACATCACTCAAAATGCAGATCAATTCATAAACACTTATTAATTGGTTTCATCATCAAAATACGAGATTCAACAATTATTGGGTAGAGACCCACCGATCTAAGAGGCTTGGATAGTTGAATTGAGATCCAGTACCCAATATGGCATGATCCATTAGGGTTAAGTTGATAGAAGGCCTCTATAAATAGGAGGGAACCAAAGGGCCACGGGCTAAGTTCTTTTTTGTTGCCTCTTATTCTCCTCTCTCCCTCTCCTTCTCATACTACAACCCCTATTTGGGTGTGTGGACAGTAAGAAGGGGCAGCCACTTCTTGATTACGTGGTGTGCACGAGGAAGAGTTTTGGGCAGCGATTTAAGGAGCGTCTTTGCAGCCTCTGCCACGTTGATCACCGCTAGAGATGAGGGCATTTGAACTTCTTCATCTAATCCCACAGATCTGTATGAATTCAAAGATATACGATCTCCCTAGGTAATTCTCTTACGCGCAATTTTTCAATTTCGCGGGTTTTTGCATACCAACTTTTGCACGACGATAAGAAACATTTTTTCTGTAGGAATTCTGAGACTTTATTTTCTATTCTTCTTCTGTGCATGTGATATCGCTCCAAATTTCTCAACACCTTCCTCGTGTGAGAGTCACGAATGATGATGCTAGCCGCTTGTATCATAGGCGAGATGACAAATCCAACTATGATTAGGGGTGGAGGCGATGATGATGACACTTTACATGAGGCAGAGGGGAGAGAAGGCAGTGCAATGTTCGACGATGCATGGAGGAGGCAAAGGCAGCACAAGGGCAATAGTAGAGGCGATGTAAGGCGAAGGCAACAATGGGTCTAGCAGAGATAGAGGTAAAATGATTTTTCGTGCAAGAAGAGGCATACTATCGGAATTTTTGAAAATGAGGCTCCTTTGATAGAATTTCGGGTTTAGGATTGTGAGCGACGATGGCATGCACTCGCATGAGGGTGGGGCTAGCGAGATATGTAGAGGTGATGACTGATCGATGATGAAAGTAAGGATAAAATGATATTTTTATATGATGAAATTTTTTAAAATTAAAAAAAAATTCCAGTCAAAGTCTACCCATCACCCACCCGTTCGTTACTTCGAATGGGAGCCGCAGCGTCATCGATAGTTCATTCCTTTGGTCTATTGGATCTCTGCATCGGAAGAGAGAGGGAGGATCGGGAGCCGCGGGCAGCTCTACACGGTCCTCTTCCTCATCCCTCTCGGGTCGACTAACTCAAATGGTCTGTCAGCGATCGCGTCAATCTCTGAAACCCAATCGCGTGGCTCCAACCGCGCATCGGGTTACAATGTTCGTCGATCTCAGCGAGGGGCGGTCGACCTACCTACTGGTGGATAATGACTTGTTCGAGCGGAACCTTCCAGATTATCTATCCGTAATAATATTTGCTTCGTTATATTATCTATCTTAATCAACCATTGTTCTACAGAGATCTTGGAATATGAGCTTTAGATGGGCAAATGAATAATAGCGGCGGGCGATGCTATTAGTGACATATATGAGGATGACAGACTTGAAATAAAAAAGCTACAAGTTTTTGTTTTTCTTAGAGACATACATGGCTCTCCAAGTCATCTACAATGCTATTAGTGACATACATGGCTGTTCAAAAGAGAAGTTTCGGTTTGTAGGGTAGAAAGTGGGTATTTGTTTTTCTTTCTCAGTGAGTGCTTCCTCTTATCATGTAATCGTAATGAGAAGGAGAAAAATAATTCAGTCTTGTTTGACTTAAATTTCTCGGCAACTTCACATGACGACTCAAAATTCTTTCGTATTATGTTCTTTCTCGAGTGGGATCAGGTAATGAACTAATAATGTGGGTCAGCTTGAGGCACAGAAGCCAATTCAGCATCATTGTGTTTATTGTAGATGACCTGCAGGGCCAAGAAGACACAGAAACCAGACTAATCCTATTACTACATCGGTAACATTTTTGTATTATGTTCACCTTTTTTTTTTATCAGTAAAATCCTGTGTATTGATTATTTTCAATTTTATTCATTTCTATATTGTAATTTACTTTTGTCTGTCTGTCACTGCAAAAAAGAATTATCTTAACAGAAGAAAAGCTTAATGCAGATATGCCACTTTAATATTTTCGGATATTAAATTCAGGCTCGAGGATCCTTTTTAAGTCCTTTGTCTAGCAACTCATCTCTAACCTCTCCCAATTTGAGGTGTGAGCATTTTTATCGATTTACTCACCTGTACTGTTTTAGGTTGTCGGGCTATCACAACATTATTAGCAGCTGGTCTCAATGGTAACCATTACAAATCTGGCGGTGTAGAGCTGCTCCACTTACTGTAACATCGTGTGTCAAATAAGATTTAGAAACTAACTACACTGATCTGCCTATTTCGATATCCAAGATAAGCTAGCTGGATAAAACTAACTCACTACTTGTGATAATGATGGCCGTTTAAGCCTCCTTGGTCACATCCTCCTCCTAGAGAACCAAACAAACAGGCAACTGCTAACTAATAAGCAGAACAATTCTTTTAACTGCCAATTTCTCAGCCCTTGACAGTATTTACCACATGAGCAAATTAGTTACCTGCAGCTACTGTACTGAGAGAGGCACCCAGGATTCATCCGACTCCCTCATCTCAGCATCTCATATTCAAAAGTCTTTTTCTTCTTGAATTGTTCTACTTCATTCCACTCCCAACAGATTAATATTGGCTCACGAACAAGAAACATATGGTCAAAAAACATGCACACAGAAGAAAAAAAGGATAGCAGTGATTGGAAAGTCAATCCACTCGGGAAACCCAAAAAAAAGATTCGGAGGAAAACAAGTGTTACCTGATAACACACCCTTCTGGTTAGGTCATTCAAAGGGGTGTCGTTCCATTCGGTGAAGAGGAAGACATTACGGCCAACACGTCAGTCACGGAAGCCATAGATAGCACTTAAAGCTGCTTTTAGAACATCTTGTGAACATCCGGGCTTCACAATGCTTCTCACCTGTATAAAACTGGATGTGTCAGTATGGGAATCAAAGTAGAGCAGGTAACACCATAAAATGGGTGGGTGCAGAGGGAAAAAAAATAAAATGCACAGAATGATGATCATGACTGTCGCAACTAGCAGCTAATAAGAAAGTTTGAGGGCATGACTTTGCTGAAATGCGATTCAAGACCCCAGTAGAAGAAACATTAGTGAGGGAACAATGACAGTCCTGTTCTCAAGTAAAATATTTCAAATAACATGTTCTAAAGGCAACGATATATGTTAGTTTTGCCAGCATAACATTTACTCGGATGGGATTCAACTAAAACAAAAATATAAGAAGAAATATCTTGCAGAAGCAAAATATGGATCACTTTTCTATGCAAAATATACAACAGATTTTGTTGCAAGAGAATCAATTTTCTGAGAAGAGCAAATATTATCCTTTGGTGTATACTGTGTCCAATTAGAAAAAATTTCAACCTATGGGTTAATCATATAGAGATATGATTATGCAGAAAAAAAAGTACAAAAACAGAGGGGCTGGGTTGAGACAAAATTAAAAACAGCAAATTGAAGCACCAACTTATTCTTGGTGTAAATGCAATAGATGCTACAGAATCAATACTAAGCATCAAAAGAAGTCATCATGGCCTACGTTAAAGAATCAGGTTTTTGGTGCGACAAAATTTCTCAAGCATTGGAAGAAATACATTAACAAATTATAAGCATGAGTGTAATTCAGAAAACTTCTTTAAAGAATAAAAAAAAAAAAATCATTTCTTGCAATAATACTGCCACAACTTCTGTGACTAGTTCCTGTGGTTTTATAGAGCTTATTTTGAATATAGAAATATGAAGATCGGTGTAGTTGGTTCTAAATCTTAAGTTTAGTCAGATTCCTGACGCATGAGCTAAACAGATCTTACAGTAATTGGAGCAGCTCCACACCGCTTATTCGCAGGGTTTTTCAGATCTTTGTAATGGTTGCCATGTAACCATTGAGACCAGCGTGATAGCAAACATGCCCAAGAACTACAGTCGAGTAAATCGATAAATGCTCAAACCTCAAATAAGGAAATTAGAGATGAGTTGCTATACAAAGGAGTTACAAAAGCATAATCACAATCAAATTTTGATGGTAAAGATCCTCGAGCCTGATATCCAAAAAAAGTGGCACATTGCATTAAACTTCTTTCCCTCGTACGTGTGCCTTCCTTCTGTTAACATAATTCGGTTAAATGCCCATTTTTGCAGTGAGGACAAAAGATAACAATATAGAAATGAATAAAACTGAAAATAATCAATATACAGAAGTTACTGAGAAAACAAAAAAAGTGAAAGATTTCTAATTCTCAACAAAAGTGTACTATCTATCATTCTAATATTCTCTCCATAATAGACAGTCTTAAAATCTAAACAGAACTTACCGACCGCTTATACATTTCTGATTCCACCAACTGGACCGGAAGCTTCTCTGTCTCAATCTGAGCAGATTATATAACAGTTTGATGATTTTCAATGTCTGCCAAAATGTTGGAGGTTTACCTGGGAAAGCTGTGCCCAATCATCAGATTCTGGATGCAGACAGAAGCAACTGCAGGATATTCATAGAGTTACTAACATTTCAAAACTAGTTTTAGAAACACCCAAAGAATAAACATCCACATTATATACTCATTTCAAAACTAGTTTTAGAAACACCCAAAGAGTTACTAACCTTGCATATTGTGTCAAATCCTACATTTATCTCCACAAATTGATTCTTTAAATCTCCATTCAAGGTTACAGGAACTCCAACCACCCTGGGCACAAACTTCTTGCATTTAGCTATTCAACCTAAACACATCATATAACAAAACCTTTCCTCACAGACATATTGCATCATCCATGATGCCAAACTATACAGTTCCAAGGAACCAAATGGATTCTAAATGTAGTCAGTTCCTAAACGTTTGCTGAAACCAAATTGAGTACCTTCGTTGGACATTTTAACTCAGCAAATGTCTCCGCAAGCTGAGCAGCATCTGTGTTGGATGGTAACTCCTTCATAAATGTAAGGAGAAGTAGTTAAACATCATAATTTATACTTGCAACCCATATAAATAACATATGCATGATAAGAAAAGTACCTCCAATAATGACAAGACCATCCAACTTCAGTTCTTGGCAGGTAGACATTACAGCATTGACTTGCTCAGATGTTCTTATTTGATCTTTTGTACGGCCAAGTAAGTCGTAGCCACCTGATGACACCAAAGAGTTATCATATTATAATCAGTTGTCTGTACAAATGTAGAACCAAATGTAGCCATAGATATTTCTAACAGACCTTGGTTTTATATGTCGAGAGAATATCATTTGTGATGTCCAAAGTCTTCTTTACAAATAATCCCTCGGTGCCACCTACAATAACATTGAGGAATCAGCATTGGATAAGCTTACATATAATTTTAAGTAAGGATTGAAATATCATATCGTACTAGAGTTCCGACATTCGCTTGGTACGGTACAGTACTTATATACCGAGCGATATATATTTTGATAATATATATATATATATATATATATATATATATATAATAAAATAAAATTTCGGTGACGTCATGGGAGAAGGGAATGAAGTTCATGGACTTGAATGATAAAATTATGCAGGACTTGAATGAAGTTCATCGAAGAAGGCATAAGAAATATTAATTGAATGAAAGAGATTAGGAGGAAGTAATCTATGAAATATCATAAACTCAAAAAGGTATTTGATTGACGTGATAGTAGGCATGAATAGTGAAAAGAAAACTAACATCTCTAGATAACAATATGTTCAAACCAACAACAAAGAAGTTACAAATCTCAACCAACAATGCATTCACCAAAAACCATGGTTTACTTATGAATAAGTTATTTCTTTGGACAACTACTATGAACAAAATTTTCTCAGTCATGCATCATAAAAAATAATGTAAATAATAGCACTATACCATACCGTATCGAGCGAATCTTGAAACTCCGATACCGTACAATATTTCAATCATTGGTTTAAACCATAAAGTATAAACTCGAACAAAAGACATGTCTTGTTGTTCTACTACCTTTTATGTTCCTTATAAATGGGAAACTGAATCATAGTTGTTAAGTAATGGAAATTTTGAACTCATCAATTAGTAAAAGATATAAAATATAACTTCCATTACACATTATGAAAATTCAATCAAATCACATATGATGATTATAGCAGGAAGACATCACTAAATGCGACAATTGCTTAGGACTGGATGGATTCAGAAATATCTGGAATGACCTGACATACAAGTCAAATGACTTCTCTTCTTCAGAACAAAAATGATGCAAATTGTGCAATGCAAGTTACTGAAAATTTTGAAGCTGCCTTACATAAAATGAAGTGCCTGCTAATTTCACTTGATACTAAAGAAAATGAAAACCATGACCTTCACATCACATCAATCTCCAAAAATTTTCATGCTGAAGCACAAGCATTTTAAATTTTGGAGTGCTTGAACTATGAACTTAATAAAACTAATTAGGAAACAAAGTGTCCAGCATTCGATACACATCCTGCCTTGAATATATAAGGCAAATTCTCATTGATAAGTGACACTGCATATAATAGTCATAGTCCACAGACAGACAAAAGCAAAATTGACCAAAGCTTATAGTTGGTGAAAAAGGATAAACTTCAAGAAGCTACACCACTGATTCAAGTGGCAGAAAATTCCAAATTTTGGAAACAAACTAGAGAAAAGTATAATGACAAGTTCTATATAAAAAAGTTTCCATTTATTCAACAGGTAATAGATAAGGAGCTTAAGGTGCAGAATCAACTATAGCAGAAGTTCTAAGGTGAAATATGATTTGTCATCACTATGAGAAAATAATGGAAAAGGCATAATTTTAGATCCATTACTGATGAGCCAGTATATACCACAAATACTTACCAACAAAACCAAGCAATGTACCCTTAGGGTTGTGAGACTTAAGGGCACTATGAAGACCCCAAATGACATTATGTCCTCCTGGAGATTGTCTCCCACAAAATACTACACCAACCCTGCAACATGAAATTTGAATGCATGAATGCTAAGTTTTATATCAGACAAGTTTTGAGCCACAAAAGAAAGTCCACATCAGTCGAGAAAAAAATTTAATGGTTACTACAGCAAAAGTAAACGTGTCCCGCAAATGGTACCCGCATGATGATTTTAATCTCTGTTGTGCATGTTAGTGGGTCGGATCCACACGTGATGTAACTTCTAATCCAATAACATCTAAAATGAGCGTCAGTCTCGGAACCCACGGAATAGGACGGCGAGTTACCCGTCTCGGTACCTTTCTTGTCATTGGAAAGGATTTGGGGCCGACACTCCGTCTGACCACAAGAACGAGAGGGACACCGGTGCTATAACGATGGCGAGTGAGTAAACACTCGCGTGGCTAGAACCTCTGGGAACCTTCCGGAGAGCATTTCGGGTCTCTCATTATATAATGGGCCGCTGTGTAACGGCACGTCTTGTTCTGCGTTGCGTCGTGCCTCCTTCCTCGAGCTTCCATCGGCAGCAAGGGTTTACGGCGGTCTGTAGGGATTTTGCCTGCTCTACTCCCGCTCTCTAAGTCCTCCTCCGCCTCCGGTCCTCTCCCTCCGAGACCCCTCTTCTTCTTCTTCAAATGGCGATCGGCTCCATGCTCCTCTCGAGGATGGCTAGGTCCAGGTCATTGACCTACGCCATCTCCTCCGCTCTGCCCCAGGTACGTGGTGGTCGGAGCTCTCCTCTTGTTTCTATCAACTCGATTTCTTTTCCTCTGTCGTGAAGCAGAAAAGTCGTCGGTGTTTTTTAGATTGATTGGAAATTTCTTTGTTTCGTTTTCTTTTTTCACACCTGTGAACGTTATGTAATCAATCAATCCCATTGTTGTTGCGCATATCCAGGTTTCTAAGCTTCTGAAGGCTCCAAATGGTATGTCTCCTCCAACTCAAAGTTGGCCTGATGCTGGTGCAAGAGCATTTAGGTAATATATACTGACCCCTTTTATCGTATCGATCTTTCCTTTGTTGCTCTCCGTGGTCGTCTCTTTGCAAATTGCGTTGTCAGTATCTGAGCTTTCTGAACTGGCTGATTTATGTAGCTCAAAGTCGGCAAGTGCAGATGTAATCGGCGTCGATTTGGGTACAACAAACTCTTGTGTTGCTGTCATGGATGGAAAGGTGAACTCATGCTTAACTCATGTTTTACTTGTTGTCCTCCTTAACTGAACATTTTGTGGTCTTTTCAATTTGTTAAGGTATGTCTGTTTGGTTGATAACGAAGATCCTCTAATATGTGTATCTTGGTTGACTTCTCCAGAGTCCCAAGGTGATTGAAAATGCAGAAGGTGCAAGGACGACTCCGTCAATCGTCGCCTTCAATACGAAGGGTGAACTTCTGGTGGGCACTCCAGCAAAACGCCAAGCGGTGACAAACCCAACCAACACTTTATTCGGTACCAAGCGATTGATCGGAAGAAGGTTTGATGACCCCCAGACACAAAAGGAACTGACAATGGTGCCATATAAAATTGTCAAGGCACCAAACGGGGATGCTTGGGTTGAAATGAATGGACAGCAATACTCCCCGAGCCAGATTGGTGCATTCGTGCTCACCAAGATGAAGGAAACCGCAGAGGCTTATCTTGGTAAATCTGTTTCGAAGGCTGTCATCACTGTTCCCGCCTACTTCAATGATGCACAGCGCCAGGCTACAAAGGATGCAGGGAGAATTGCTGGGCTTGAAGTCCTTAGGATTATCAATGAGCCAACTGCAGCTGCACTTTCCTATGGAATGAACAATAAGGAGGGTTTGATTGCTGTCTTTGATTTGGGCGGTGGTACTTTCGATGTCTCCATCCTGGAAATCTCCAATGGGGTATTTGAGGTTTGTTCCTGACAGACAATACATATCTGAATCATCTTTCTCCCATAGTTTTTTTTAATTTCGTTTTAATATCAGTGATCTTCCATTTGCAGGTCAAGGCTACCAACGGGGATACATTCCTTGGTGGGGAAGACTTCGATAATGCGCTGCTAGACTATTTGGTTAGTGAATTTAAAAGGTCAGAGAACATTGATTTGTCCAAGGACCGATTGGCGCTACAACGGCTAAGAGAAGCAGCAGAGAAAGCAAAAGTGGAACTCTCATCGACATTGCAAACAGAGATAAACCTTCCTTTTATTACCGCTGATGCTTCAGGAGCCAAACACTTCAATGTCACATTGACACGATCTAAGTTTGAATCACTTGTTAACCATCTGATCGAGAGAACCCGGATACCATGCAGCAATTGCCTGAAAGATGCAGGCATTTCAGCAAAAGAACTCGATGAAGTCCTTTTGGTTGGTGGTATGACAAGGGTACCCAAGGTTCAGGAAATTGTTAGTCAGATTTTTGGCAAGAACCCTAGCAAAAGTGTGAATCCCGATGAGGCTGTTGCCATGGGAGCTTCCATACAAGGTGGCATCCTGAGGGGTGACGTTAAGGAGCTTCTCTTGCTGGATGTCACCCCACTCTCCCTCGGCATTGAGACTCTTTGGAGGGATCTTTACGCGGCTTATCAACCGAAACACAACTATTCCAACCAACAAGAGTCAGGTCTTCTCGACTGCAGCTGATAACCAAACCCAGGTCGGCGTCCGGGTATTGCAGGGTGAGAGGGAAATGGCTTCGGATAATAAGCTTCTTGGGGAATTCAATCTCACTGGCATTCCTCCTTCTCCAAGAGGCATGCCCCAAATAGAGGTCACCTTTGATATCGATGCGAATGGGATCGTGAAGGTCTCGGCCAAGGATAAAGCAACAGGCAAAGAGCAGGAAATCACCATCAGATCCTCAGGTGGGCTGTCTGAAGAGGAGATAGAAAAGATGGTAAAGGAGGCAGAGATTCATGCTCAGAAGGATCAGGAGAGGAAGTCACTGATCGATATCAAGAACACTGCAGACACTACAATTTACAGTATCGAAAAGAGCCTTGGGGAGTTCAGAGATAAGATTCCCCGGGAGGTTGCCAAAGAGATCGAAGACTCGGTGGCTGATTTGAGGGCTGCAATGAGCCAACAAGACAATGCGGAGAAGATCAAGGAGAAGATGGAAGCTGCAAACAAGGCAGTCTCAAAGATCGGACAGCATATGCAACAAGGGGGAGGTGGAGGAGGAGGGTCTTCAGGTTCTGCATCTGAAGCCGACTACAAGGAAGCCAAGATGTAGAATTTTGCTGCATCATTTAGATTCTTAGGTAACAGAAACACGTTAACTGGAAAAATTTTGTGCGCTTGGATAAAGGGATGGGAGGGGGAGGCTGAAATCATGAAAGGTACTTTTCACTGCTATAATTTTTTTCTTTGTGTATGTCGATCTTTGATCAAATATTGGCTGCTTATATTGTCACTTAAAATCAATGTTTCCCTCTCAAATCTATCTTTCTTCCCAAGTTTTCGAGTTCTCATGGGACTGGTTGGCATTGTCTTGACATGTTTCTTTTGGTCCTATTAGGATCAAAATTGGATGCTCAAACAGCAATTACTTGCACTTTTCTTTTGTTGTCCAAAGATATCCTCTAGTTGGCTCCGAATGTCATCCCTGAGATATCACCATAGTCTTTATTCAATATAAGCCAATTTCTGCATGAAATTGATGTGGGACTGAAATCGTTTGTGTTTTAGTGGGTATGCTTTTGGTATTCCCGATCCAACAACTACTGCGGATTACCAAATAATATTGCCAATGAAGATCTCTCAAATCGGACTAGTAAATAACTATTCGATCGCTAATACTGCGCCGATCCAACTACTGCGGATTACCAGATATTTGATCCAACTACTGAGGATTACCAAATAATATCGCCAATCGGATTACCAGATATTTGATCCAACTACTGCGGACTACCAAATAATAACTCTGCTGTTTGTTTTCTTGTGTGATGCTCAATCCTCATCCAACTTGCATCTCCTTGGGAGGGCCGAAGAAGAATTCCCGCTGAGTTGAGCGAGCATTACGCAGTATGAGCTCAAGCTTGAACAACAGGCATTTATTTCTTGTGTGATGCTCATCCTCATCCAGCTTGCATCTCCTTGGGAGGGGCCGAAGAAGAATTCCCGCTGAGTTGAGCGAGCATTACGCAGTATGAGCTCAAGCTTGAACAACAGGCAATACAAGTCGACAACAATCGCAATACACAAAGGTAGACTGACCATATTTACTCATCAGACTAATAAAGATGGTTAATACGTCCAGCTATGCACATGGAACCATGGGTTTGAAATCATTTATATAGATGAGCTGAAGCCAACATCATCTACTTTTACAAACTAATACATAAAACTGAGTCTTTGCTATCAAAACAACAATCTACTCGATCAACATTCTTCCCCTACATTAGTACTCCTGACTTACGGACAGTGTCCTAAATCAGATCAGATGTTTTCCGAGGCATTTGTTTGAGTCGAAAAGGAACGTAGAATCCAGCAGGTTCACTGAAGCATTGCTCCGACACAAACAGCACCTCAGTTGTCTCGGCAAAATATAAGCCCTAAATATCTGGCAGGCAGAACCAATAAATACATAGAATTAGACCAAATACTATTGACATGACATGTTTTTAGATGAGCAAGCAAATGGTACCAACTCTACTACTTCTGTAAAAAGGTAGTACAACAACTCCACAGTCTCATAGCTATAGACCTGAGTGTTCAAATGGCACACGGACAAACAGTTGGCCATGCAGGGTCACAACCGCCGAAGTTTGATGAGGATCAATCCGCGAAGGCAAGGTGATAACCTGAGGATATTGTGTGACATTGTTGAGTGAAAAAAGATGTCAGTAACAATTAACTCTTGTACACAATCACCTTTTTAAAGGGAGTGACGCCCCACGGATTATCAGGCTGCTCCGGTTCGCCAGATATAACCAATCGACCAGCAGGATCAGATTGCACATGCACCTGAATTGATGCATTAATAAATTTAGGGCAATCAGTTGGAGAAACAAAATTGTTATCCTTCTCCTGCTCATATAAGTATAGGCTGAGCAACATTAAGATTGATGTGAGAGAACTTTTCTGTAATCATTCAACAAGTTACCAATGTCATTACACATCATAGAAAGAGTGGCATCTACCTCTTCACGTAGAAGCCCAGGAACTAAAGCATAGACTTCAAAACAATCCTTCTGCAGAGAGCAGAGAACATAGTCAAGGTAAAAGGTTATAATGAACAAAAATATTAAGCACTACGCCAGCATACCATATTTGGTTGCACTAGTATGAACTTCATAGGGGTTCATAACTTCTAGAAATAAGCACTTTTTTCTTCTTTTTTTGCATCATATACACTATATACTAGTAAGGGATTTAACTAAAACTGAAATTACAATAAAACCATACTGTTTGCCGCACATTGATCTTCACCCAATCAGCAGGAGTCCCAACATCAAAAACCA